ACATATATTAATTTAGAAGTATAATTAACGGTTTTTTCTCCTTCCGTATTTTCTATTAAATAAAATTTTTTAAAACCAATTTCTTTTAATTTAGTTTCAAGTTGTTTAGTAGTTAATATTCATTTAAACAAATTAAAGTCCATTTTTATATTAAAATTTTTTTTTTTTTTACAATCTATAATTTTTTAAATCAAATAATAAAGGGATTAAAACTTCACGATTAAACGTGATCAATGAATTGTATCGTTCCGATGATTTTATAATGTTTTTTTCAATTTCTAATAAAGTTTGTACGTGTTCGTCGCTGCAAAATTTTTTGATATTGGAAAAAACTTTTAAATTGGCTTCTCGGATAAGATCTAATCGATAACAATCGCGTAATTCTGTCAATATTTCGTCATCAAAAACATAATTTTTTGAGTAAACTTTTTTAAAAACTCGATAACGTGTTCGTTAATGGTGACAAATTTATAATTTAAATTCATTCTGTTTGGAACAAAAGGCTGCAATTTATTTTCTAATTGATTAGGTACTTCTTTAAATAGTTTTTCTGCTCTGTACGTGTTAAAAACGTTGACGTAGAGCGTATAGCATAATTGATAATTTGGTAAATTTTTTGCTCAATTTTTGTGATCGCTTTCTCCTGCGTCTTGTATTATTTTTTTGTATAATGTAAGCGCTGTAACACTTTAGCGCTATAGCAAAAACTTGTGCAATAAAAGTCGGAGGAGGAACTTCGTTTTGAAAATGATCGCTTTCTTTTGCTTCTAAAGGTGAATAAAAATCATAATTATTGGGGTAATTGGAGTAATCCATCTATTTTTGACCAATTTTTAAAAAATAAATCCATTCTTCTACTTTTGAACGAAAAATTTCTTGTTTTTTGTCTGTTTTTTTAGTTATAAAAAAACATCCGGAATCAGTATCCGTAACTACTAAATGTATTTCGGCACCGTGATTTCTTAACACTTTTTTCAATTCCCATCCGAACCGCGTAACGTTAAGTTTAGCATAAGAAAGTAATTGAGAAGCCACATAACGCATTTGCTTGTTAAACAAACCACATTTTTCGCTCATTACAAATACAAGACCATCCTTATACATGTTAACGTCAGATTTTAACAGTTCAAAAATGTCTAGAAGTTCTTCGTTATGTTTACCACTAAATAAAACGTCAAGGATTTTGTTAAAAATAAATTCTATAAAGTATTCGTCGTACGTAATATCTTTGGTAATGTATTCGTCGATGCTAATTTTGATCAATCATGCGTTCGTGCTCTTCGGATGGAGGATATTGTATTTGATATTGATTTATCATTGAATTTAATTTGCTGACATAACTAAATATGCTCAAATGCAAAAGCATGCGAAATCGAGTAAACTGAAACCTTCTTTCGTCAAAATCGACCATTACTGAACCTAAAACCACTGCATCCAAAACAGTGTATATATGCAACAAAGATTTTAAATTTTTCAAGTTTAAATAATGCCTTAACTTGGTCACAGTTTCGTAAGCCTCTTTGATTTTTTTGATTTCGTCTTTTAGCGTTTTTGATTTCATTAAGTCGTTTTTAGCAAACAATTCAATAGAAGGTGTTCTTTTGTATTCAATGTTTAAAAATGTATCAGAAATTTGAGATTAGGGAAAAAGAGTCTTTTATAAAACAGGTTTTAAACTCTTCGTTGTCCGCTAGTTGATTAATTTGAGGATAAAACGGTAACAAGTAATGAAGCATGCTGTTGACAATTTGATTTTGAGCTTTTTTAGATAACATGCTACTCGCTTGATCTAACGAGCAGTTTAAAATTTTTCAAGTGTCCACAATTTTAATGTGTTTGCCTATGCAAATAACGTTAAATTTGCTTGCACCTTATGAAATGACAAATGTTTTCTCCATATTTCTATGCTTTAAAAAAGAGTTAAAAGGTATTTCTTCTTCTTCTAATTCGTTATCGTATAAAGCAACGTCTAAAATTTTTTTCAATTCTTCAACAATCATGATGCGATTGTCAAAAGAAGCGTTGTGCGCAAACAAAGGACAAGAAAGTTTGCTGCTAAAGCGAGCTAAATTTTTATTACAATAATCATGAGCTAATCCGTAAATTTCACCAGAAAAATGATCGTGATCGATAACCAAAGAATCTTCGAAACTAGATAACAAACCGTGACAATCTTTTAATATTTCTTCTCCTTTTTCATCGTCTTGTATCAAATCTTTTAAATTTGATTTTTTTTCAAATTTATTATTAAAAAGTTGTAGCATGCATTGAAACCATAAATTAGCACAGGGCAGTTGTAATCGTGATATTAAGTGTAAAAACGTAACAGCATCTTTTATGCCCATACCGTATTTGTATTTCCAATGAATTCTAACTTCTTTAATACACTTTTGAAAAAAACGTATCAAAAAATAAGAATCCTCCAACAATTCAATAGGATCAATTTCAAACCACACGTCAATTTGTTCCTCGTTCATAAAAAGTTTTCCTAAACATTTCATATACTCTATCAGTTCTAATGAACTGACTCTAACATTATCGCTCAAAAAACCGTTGGTTATTAACGTACGTTCAAATTTTTCCCACCATCTACAGCAAATAAAAAACAAAGTCGAAATTTGAAGCAAATCGCTTTTAACTTTTTCTGAATCGTTTGTTAATAAATAATTTTGAGTTGACAGTTTGAGCATAAACCATTCCAATTTACTTACTCTTTTAAACACAAAATGAACAACTTGAACGTGTTTGTCGTTATAAAGTCGAAATTCGTTATGATTTAACAAATTAATTTCGTGATCTAACATTGTAGTCATTTTATATTTCTAAATGTCAGATTTGCGAATTTTGTCGGCAGGTCATCTACAAATGCTACATAAAGAATTTTCTTCGTGCCACACAATGCATTTTTCATAATCGGAATGTTCAAGTTTTGAAAACGAGTTAAACATATTTTATAGGTAAAACGAACTAAAGTTTCTGCTAAAACGATCAAGTCGTAAACTCTTAAACCTGTTGTGAGTTTTTCAACGTTTTTGTCGTTTTCGTTTAATTTTTTCCACAAAATTTCTCGATGTGTTTTTTGAAGTAAAGAAACGCATTCTTAAAAAGTAACAGGTAATTGAGTTAAAGAGTTTATTTTTAAACTTTCGATTGTGTTCTCGTAATATAAAATCATTGCGTGATAACTTGACCTCCATCGTCTAAACCAAAACAATTTTTGGCTAAATTTTTAGACAAACATTGAACAATGACCGCGTGACAATAATAAGTCAAATCAGACAAAGGTTTTATTTGCTCAATTTCTTTTAAATTAGATTTTTGAAAGCTCGTTTCACAATCAAAAGTAATAAAAAACGGAAATACGTTACAACTAGTATTTATAAGGTTGTTTTGAGGTTCATAATAATGACTTTTTTCTCCGTATACGAATTTGTTAGATTTGTAAAATCTTTTAAATTCATGAGTAGAATTAATATATTTAAGAATTAATATATTTCAGACCACATTTTGGACATTAAAATAACAAATTATTTTTGTATAAAATAACATAACGTTCATTGAGCATGCTTACAGCGTGATGAGAACCATTCCTTTCATAAAAACAAATTTTTATTGTATTGATTGTTTTTTTACGTTGGTTAGCTCGTTCTCTTTCTTCTTCGTTGATAAACTCTCTTTGAGGATTTTGATCATCTTTAGTAATGTTGGCACTTTCGTAAACTACTTTTAACAATTCGGTAAGAACGCTTTTATATTTTGACTTCATGTTAGGATGTAACAAACGAACGTTTACATTTTTTTTATTCATCGAAAAAATTTGAATGTTTATTCGATCAAAACTATTTTCGTAAGCAAAAGTTTGACACAAATTTGACAGTTCAAGAAATGATAAATTTTCACTTTTTTCTTTTAACAAAGTTAAAGGTTCTAACCACGAATTATTTTCATTATCAAAAAGAAGCTGTAATATATTTTCTTCTGAATACAAATCTTGACCATTTTTTTTAATTACTTTTTCATTCTATTCTTTAATTGTGTTTACGTTCCATTTCCGTATGAGCAGCGAAATGACAAAAGCAGACTAAAAACACAAACCATCGTCAAACAGTATGCTGTAATCTAAAAACATTTTTCTTTTTTGTTCGTACGATAATAATTTCAACTAAATACTTTTTTGAATTTTCCAACCGGTTAAAGAATGAGGTCGATACCATTCACCAAACCATTCATCTTGATTTTCTTCTTTGTATTGTCTTTTATTGTGTGAAATTTTACTTTTATTTTTTTGATAATATTTTTGAAACTTTTCAGATTTTTCTTCAGGAGTTAAATTATTCATCATTTTTTGATAATATTTTTATTTCTTTCAGAATTTTTTTTGTCTTTTTTTCATTAATTCATCAGGAGATAAATTACTCATCTTTTTTTGATAATATTTTTTATTCTTTTCAGAATTTTGTTATCTATTTTTATTAATTCTTCAGGAGATAAATGATTTATCTTTTTTCGATAATATTTTTTATTCTTTTCAGAATTTTGTTGTCTTTTTTAATTAATTCTTCAGGAGATAAGTTATTCTTTTTTTTGATAGTATTGTTTGTTCCTTTCAAAATTTTGTCTTTTTTTCATTCCGGTATCGGGAGAAAGTTCAGATAATCTTTTGTACCCGCTCATTTCGTAGTTTCATCATAGATTTTTTGGTTAAATTACTCAATGTTTTTACTTTAAAACTACATAGCCGAATTATTCTCCATCCGCTATCGTTTTCTAAATTGTTAAAAGCAAATCGAATATTGTTGTCTTTTATATATTGCAAATTAACAGCTCCTTCTAGCGGTTTAATATAATAAATAGGTGAATTGTAACAACGTTTAATAATTTTACAATAACCGTCTTCTGTAGAACTTTACACAAAGAGATATAATATTATATCCTATTAAAAAGTTTTGAAACAAATCAGCAAAAAATAACCTTTTTTTTAATTCGTTATCAAAACTAACTTATGTTTTTTCATTGATACGATAAACAATTTCGTCGGGAGATTGCACTTGCTTGTTTAATTCAATTTCTTCTATAACATCTTCATTTTTGTAATTGTCTTTTACATAATAAAACGTTTCTCTATAATATCTTTCGTTTGCTAATTTTTAATCAACAATTTTAACTTGAAAATGCATTTTATTTATGTTGCTAAAAAAGTTATTTTTTTATACAACTTTTATAAAAGAGTTCAACATCTTTATCTATCGATATATTTTTTAATACATTTCTTATTTCGTTTTTATTTCTATGAATAATATAAATGCCATTTAAATTACAAACTCGCGATAACGCTACATAAATAAGCAATGAAACAAACGCTTTACTATTAAAATTTAAAACTGCTTCGTTTAATGTACACCCTTGAGCTTTGGGTACAGTAAAAAAAAATGCTAACTGTAAAGGTAAACCAAATTTAGAAGCTATAACCGAATGAGTACAATCTAAAATGTCTTCTTTTATATTTTCAATTTTAAATTCTCTACCGTTTATACAAACCCAAACACCATTTGATTCAATAAACGTCACTACGCCAATAGTACCGTTACACAACCCTTCTTCTACGTTTACGTTTTTTACTAACATGACAACAGCTCCTTCTTTTAAAAGTACACAAGTAGGAATTTGAAACATATAATTGACTTTGGGATTTATAATAACATCATTAGAATAAAACCATTTTTCTTCAGATCGAATATCGTTTATTTTGTGTAAGTTATAAAAAGCCACTTCTTCGTTTAAAAAACACAAACGCACGTATTTCGAACTTATATTTACGTCATTTTCAAAATGTCTGGTCATTAAAAGATTGACAAATTTATCTGTTACTTTTCCTAATCGTATTTCATTTAACGCGTTAAAAAATTCAAGATTTTTTTGTCTGAAACATTCGGTTAACTCAAGAACGTTATGCATATATTGCTTCCATATTGTTGATTTCAAAACGTAATCACCTTTTACAGGCGGCAATTAATAAAAATCACCACAAACAATAACTTGAATTCTACCAAATAATTCATCGTAACATTGATTTATTTTACACGCTAAATTATGCAACAAATCGAAAGTTTGTGCGTTAATCATCGAAATTTCATCAATAATTAAAATATGCGTATTTCTCCATCTGTTAAAAACGTCATGTGTCATGTGGTTATAATAATATTCCATAGGTTTGGTACCAACTTCAATACCAGCAAAACTATGTATAGTCATACCTTTAATTTGATGAGCTGCTTTACCAGTACTTGCTGTAATTTCAATGTTTTTTATGAGTTGATCGCTAGAAGCTAAAGCATTATGCAAATAACTTTTACCACAACTAGCACTACCTGTAATAAAAAAATTTAATCTTCATCAAGCCATTGAAAAGTAATTTTTTGTTTTGATGACAAATTCATTTTATTTTCTAAAAAAATTTTTTTTCAAATTAAATTAAAAAATTGTTTCTAAATCTTGCGGTTTATAATTGTTTATTATAATATTGTAAATTTATTTATACTATGTAATATTGTAAATTGTTTATAAATCTTACGGTTTATAATTGTTTATTGTAAATATTGTAGAAAGATACAGTAAAATTATTGCATATTTTGCAAGCTACATCATCAACGATAAATGATACATTTCAAGTTTGCGATACTTTTTATGTTTTTTCATATTTTTACAAATTCTTTGTCTTTCATCAACTCTAACATGCCAAAAGTCATTAAATTTACAATTAGTTCTTTTTCATCCGTTTCAATAACGTTATATTTTTGAATTATTATCTTTTTAAATGTGTTTTCTTGTGAATATTTTCTTTGAATATCCATATTTACTAATCTAAAAAAAAATTTATAAAAAAAATACAATTATTCATGCAAAAATTCAATCATTTCCTTTCGATCAAATTTTTAATTTACTTCTTTAATCCATTGTTTTTTTATTATTCTGTGTATATTTTGATAAAAATAATAAAATCTATTAAACTCTTCGTTTAAATAAACGTGAAAATGTTGTGACATGTATTGCAAAATTATTTAAACCACAAAATGAGGTATTCCAAAACATTTTAAATCATGTTGAATTATTTGAATGATTGTTGTACCGTTGTCGTTCCAACTTTGTTCATTAAAACGTAAAACATAATAACGAAATTTTTCCAAGGTTAACCATTCTCTAAGACATGTTTCATTAAAACCCACTGAGAAAAAAGAGCTCTGGAAGAGCTCCTGGAACTCTATGATAAGCTCCGTTAGTAGAGTAGATTAAAGAGTAAATTTTATAATGCCTATATATTGAATTAGTTTCACTTTTTATATAAAAATTATACACTCTATGCAATAGTTAGCACCTTTAAGTAATGTATTAGATTTTTCGTGTGCATGATATTAATTTTTAGTTTAGTCGTTTAAATGATGTTATAGTTGGTAGGGTTCTTTGCAGAACTCTTCCGAAAGAGCATTTGCAAAAATGCGCTAATTGTTTCATTAAAGTGCATGCGTATGTTTTTAACAGCGCATGTTTCTAACAGTTTCATGAAATTTAATTGTTAAAAAGCAGAAATATGTATTGATATGCAATTTTATTTTCTGTGATCAAATTCTTTAAAGTTTATGCAATATGTATTGGTAAAACAATATTTATTGCTCGTATACGATATAATGAATTAGGATTTAAAGTTTATGTTCATAAATATGTTTTGAATTTAATATATAATTGTCAGCAAATAATGTTACAAGTTTTTTTTATTTATATAGTTTTTCAGTTTTTATTGCTGATTTACTCCAAATAACAGTTGTATACAGACCAGCATTTAAAGGTATGTAAATTTTTATAACTCTACTGTAAATTTTTGTTCAGAATAAATTAACAATAATGTAAAATATCAACTAAATAAAAAGAAAGTGTTATTAAAATTTTAACTATAATTTGCACTAGATGTTTTAAATAATATGTTAAAATTTTTACTATTATTACATAATTATATATCATTCATCGTATAAATTTTTATATTTTGACAATAAATCATTTTTGCAGCTAATATGCACAAGAGAGTTTCATTTCATAAGCTATCACGCTCACAGGCCTACAAAAGATTAAAGTATTACAGAGAGCAAGCTGCAATAAATCATAGCTCTGATACAGACTCAAACAGTGGCAATGTAGATTTTGAGAACTTGGTTACTGAAATACCTCTTCATCAACTAGTTGATTCACCTTCACTAGTATTGCAACCTATGCAGATACCACTTCCTCAACCACTCACTTCCCAAACACAAGTTCCTCATACTCCTCTGCCTCCTATACTAGATGATTCATCAGATGAACCTGTCTCTTTTTCAAGTGACGAAAAAATAAATATTAAACAAGAGTTGGCAACCTTTGTGGTGGAGTCTGCTTTACCTGAAAGTGCAACAAATAAACTATTAAAGCAGCTAAGAAAGCATAAGTGTTTCAATGATGAATTACCAAAAACACGTAAAGCCTTGCTAAGAACTCTTACAGATAGAATTGTGCTACGAGAGGTTCCCCCTGGTCATTACTATCACTTTGGAATCAGAGCAGGATTAATTCAATCAATTCAAGAAACAAATGATATTTTGGAAAATAATAGTACTCTTGAAATATTAATAAACATTGATGGTATTAGTATTAGTAAAAGCAGTCCAAGCCAGTTCATGTCAATATTGGGGAAAGTGAATAATTTAGATTTAGTCTCTGTCTTTAAAATCGGTGTATATCATGGACTTAAAAAACCTGATTCATTAAATTTATACCTAAGTGATTTTGTTGAAGAATGCATTGAACTGTCCAACAAGGGGATTGATTTTGAAAATAAACAATTTAATGTTCGAATAAGTGGTTTTGTTTGTGACCTTCCAGCTAAAAATTTCATCCTTAATACAATTGGACATACAGGGGAATGTTCCTGTACAAAATGTGAAGTGATCGGAGAAAGAATAAACAACAGACAGGCTTTCTTGGAGATTGACGCAGCGCTTAGAACAGATGCATCCTTCAGAGCTAGGCAACAGCCGGAACATCACCATGGTGAAACACCCCTTGAGCAAATACCTTTCTTAGATATAGTAACTATGGTAGTTATTGACCCTATGCACCAAATTTACATTGGCACCGTAAAAAAAATTTTAAAAGAGTTATTCGGAAAAGCGCCATCTGTAAATAAGCTTAATATAAGAATAAGAGCCAAAGTCTCTGATAAAATCATGACCATTAGTAATGAAATCCCATTGGAGTTTCAACGTCGCCCTCGAGAACTAACATACTTAGCATTATTCAAAGCCACAGAATTTCGTCTTTTTTTACTTTATATTGGTCCTCTTGTTATGAAAAAAATACTTGATGGTTCGCAAAGAAATGAAGCTCTATATTGTCATTTTTTAAATTTACATGTTGCAACAAGTATTCTTGCTAGACAAGCAACTCCTCCTGAGATTGCATATTGTGAAAAATTACTTAAAAATTTTGTTTCTGATTTTTCTATGCTATATGGAAACTATCTTGTGAGTGCTAATATCCACTCTCTAATCCATATAGCTAATGATGTGAGGAAATTTGGGCCGATTGAAAAATACTCTGCATTTGTGTTTGAGAATGCAAATAGGTATATTCGAAATATGCTGAAAGACATCACCTAACCCATTACAACAGATAGTAAAGCGTGAACATGAAAGAAAGATAAATTTACCTGTAAAAAAGTCCAATAAATTTGAAAATATTGAGTTTTCAAAACAACACATAAAGGGTCCACTCATAGATGCAACCAATGGACCGCAATACACATCAGTAAAATTTGAAACTTTCACCTTAAAATGTAGTAGTCCCAACAACTGCTTTATGACAAGCGAAAATGAGGTTTTCATATTGGAGAATATCGCTCGATCAACAGAAAGCAATCAACGTATCCTGATTGCAAGAAAGTTTACTAGGCTTCTTGATTTATATGTATTTCCGTGTAGATCTTCAAACCTAAATATTTATTTAGCCATGCACTTGGGTGCACTGCAAATTGTCCAACTTCAAATAGTGAAAGCCAAATGTGTCAAACTTACTAGCGATGACAATTCATTTGCAATTTTTCCACTTATACATTGTTAATAAACTTTAAACTCATTTAAATTTGCATGTATTACATAAAATATATGAGAAAAAAAAGTAAATATTTGTGTGTATATTTATGTGTATATTATATAAATACTGCATAGTTATATTTATTCTTTTTATATCAAATGATGGTATAAATATGTGAAGTGTGCAGGGTATTAGCCAACACAATCGCACTGGGGGATTCCCAATGGGTTTATAATTCCCAATATTTTAATGACCTTTTTTTTTTTTTTTTTTTTGTTGTTGTTGAAGTAATAGGACAATATCAATAAAAAATTTCCAATATTTTGTAGAACAACAGTTTATATTTCCAATATCATAAAAACGCAGTAAAAATAAATTCACAACACATCAGGCTAACACCCTGATGTGTTTTGAATAAAGTCAATATATAGGAAAAAGTATATATAATATATAAAATTTTTAAAAACTATAAGAATTATATAATCTTTAAAGAATTTTAATTCGTTTCTCCAGATGTCAAGAAATTATGTTGCATTTCGGTTCAAAACACCATATCTGCATTCAATGTATGCCCCAATGGCCTGGTTAGCAGACTCTGCAAATTGTTATTGGCCTTGCAATCTAACAGAGGAAGAAGAAGAGAAGTTAATTGAATCTTGTGTTGAACCTCTTACTGGAGTATATGAGTGGCAGCTCTACCAGGGTAGTATTCTAAGAAAGAATAGTAAGTATACAAAAAGATTATTTAAATACTGCTAGTTATGCCAAGTTTAAAATTATGAATTTTGTTAAAACCAAATGAAAAAAAAAAAATGTATTACTTATAAAAACTTACAAAGCTTTTTAAAGCAATTTTATTTTAAACAAGCTTTTTTTGGGGAAAAATTGATTTAAAGATATTTTCAAGAAGTTTAAATGTAATAAAAGTTTAATGAAGATTATGCAATTAAATTAAAAAGTTTTTATTATCATGTGTAATTTTTGTGGAAGAAACAAAAAATAAATTTCAATTAGTAACATTTCCCAAAAATGAATGATCTTTTTTTGTTGTTGTTGTTGAAGTAATAGGACAATATCAATAAAATTTCCAATATTTTGTTTAGTAATAATTAATATTCCCAATATGATAAAAAATCGTAAACTCTGGCTAAAAAGTATTTGATATTTTGATATCATTTTAAAAGAAAAAGTTTATTCTTTTTCTCAAAATAGGTGTTTTAGAGCATGAATTTATGATTAAAATTTAATTTTTCTTTTTTTTTTTTTAGCATCCAGTACTTCTAGATTGTCTGTGTTAGGGAACTGGTCTCCTGCCAAGAGTAGAGAACAAAGTCCTACTGCCATGGCTGCAGGACTTACTTCATCACCAATCAGGACTAGTAGCCCCAACATAAGAGGTAGGAAGTGATTAGTAAAAGACTGAGTTTTAGTTACTTAGCATAAGTAGTAATATATAGATAATTTAAAAACTTTTTAACATGTTTCATCAATAACAATTGTTATTGATGATTAAACCAAATAAAACAAAAAAATACATAAACCTTAAAAACTTAATAGTACATAGTTTTCTTTGTTAAATCAGAAGTCTAAAGGATTAAATTTTTTTTTGTAAAGTAACAGCTGATGCTGACTCTGATGTGTGGTGTAATGGAACCTTGGAAAATTTGTATAAACACCGAAAGAAAGCTAGTGATATGTCTCAAATAGGTAGTGTATATAAGGTGTATAATTTGTGTGATCATTGTGTTTTTATTTTTTACATAACAAATATACTCTGTCAATAACAACTTATAACATAAGCTTAACTGTGAATAGGTATTAAACTTTGTTTTATAGTTTTGTGTGTGCATGATTAAAATACTAAATAATTTTTGTTTTTTTAGAATTTAATCAGCACATGCTGAATTTTACCTATGTAGTAATGGATGCACTTAATATAAACACTGTTTTACGCAATAGAAAGCGTTCTGCAAGTTCTAAAAGCCAAACAAACAGAGACTCCTCTAATGATGATGCAGTTGAGGATGATTCTGTTTTAGGACGCCTGCCTATGACCACAAAAGAACAATATTATAAGCTGGAGGAAAAACTGAAAAATGAATCTTTTGTCAAAACTTGGGTAAGCTGGATACATATTTTCTTTGTATAGTTAAAGTCATTATTTACAAAATGAAATTTATTATTATGTTATTAAAATGTAGTGAGTCTTCAGTGATCTAATCTCACTCTAATATAAGCTAATATAAGTCTATCTAGATCTTAAATCTGGACTTTTTGTTATTATTAATAATTTTTTTTCATTCTTAAAGTGTTTTCTTGTTATGTATGTCAGGCAGCTTAAAAATCTGCTCTCTTGCAAATAATCTAATAATTATCTTCATTCACTTAACTATGTAGAATGTGAAATGTCAAATTATACAGTTTAAATTCTAAATTACATTCTTTTTTTGAAACCTTATTGGTATAGCATTATTTATTATGTAAAAAAAAATTTTGTTCTTAATAAAATATTTTTTTCAGAAAAAGTTGCTTTTGGAACGTTTAAAGGCACTCAAGCTTGATACATTAGCTACAACAACTGCAGCTAAAATGATTATGAGTGAAATCTTCTCTCAAGACATGCTGAAAAACATGTGCTATGCTGGGCACAAAACATATAAGGAGAAGAAGATGGCAGTCAAAAATGGAATTGTGTACATCACACTGATAGGTGAGTTGTAACAACTAAACATTTTTCAAATAATATAAATAATAATCAAATAAACAAGCATTGAATATTATAAAATAAATTTAAAATCTTTTCAGCTGTGCTAAAAAAACTGGGACACAAAGACGTACTGAAGATCGAAAAAGGTCTTAAAGACGCCATGTACAAGGCAAATGATAATATTACGAAGGAGATCAGGAAAAAAAAATTGGAATAAAAATTATTCTTATAAATTTGGCTTTTTTTTACTTTGTTCTTTCCTGTGCGATATTTTATTGCAAACATTTTTGTGGGGGTTTTTTAAGGGCTTTAAGTTTTTTTAGGTGTAGCGTTCCCTGCTTTTCCTTCAATATAAAATACTCGTGCAAGTGATTAGTTATTCAAAATATGAAAGTGTGGATTTAAGAATTGTGATACCATGCATTTAGATGAAAAAAGTATTTTTTGAAGAATGCTCTCATGTTTAGATTTCTTGATAGAGCTCTACAAGAACTCTTTTAAAAGCGCTCTTCGGTACTTTACTAAAAGAGCTCTGTGCGGAGTGTCTCGTAGAAGACCTCTTCGAAGAGCTCCTGGACGAGTTCTAGAAAAACCAAATAAAGAGCTCTTTAAAGAGCTCATTTTTCTCAGTGGGAAACCCACATTAAATCATTTAATAATGTTTCTGTTAATTCCATCTAAAAAAATTACAAAAAAACATTTTTTAATAATAAAAAAGTTTTTCAACATATTCGCATACTTTAACATTCACTTGTTCAATAATTAGTTTTTTATTGTAGTTTTTAAAAAAGTAATAAAATTCATAAAATTCTTTGTCACTATAAACTGGAAAATTTTCCAACAATACTTCTAACAAAATTAAAATAACATAATTATCAGCAAATTGATAATAAAAAAATTAAGTCCAATTAGTTTAGATTAATTCTGGAACTTGAAGTTTTTCAAGTTGATCAAAATGTTTTATAATTTTGCAATTTCCACATGTTTCTTTATAGGCTAAAGCTTTTCCGTACAACTGCGATAAAGTAAAATTCAATTCAGTAAGCGTTCCATCCACTGATAAATTAGCTAAATTTCGATCTATAAAAGTTTTCATAATGTCTTTAAGTTTGAATTCTGTCAGTCTTTGTTTCTCTTTATACCATCTCAATTTGTTTTTAATTTTTTCATTTAATTCATTAATAAATTTTTCTTTGCCTTAATTATTTTAAAAAAATTGATAAAATAAAAAATTCGTCAGTTTCAATGTCTCCATTTGTTATGTTAAATTTAGATAAAAATAAAATTATTACAAACGCACACACTCTTATTGGCACTTGTCGTTTATTTGTTGATTTCAACGTACCCCAATTATATTCATCTACAAATTCACAATTCATTTTTTTATATAATTGTTCTTGTATTTGTTTCATATACACTTTTTCCATTTCAACCTCCATAGGTACGTAATTCATATAATAATTTTTTTTTACGAGAACGGATAGAAATGGCGACCATTTTTAACATTTCCAAAATTTCGTTTAATTTAGTTTCTGTTATCATCTAAAAAAAATTATTTATATTTATTAAATTCACAATACGGACAACAAATATATAAATTTAAACATTCTAACATGATATTTTTTAATTTGTTTTTAAATTTTAAAAAATTTTTATGACTTTTAGTGCAATAATTATATTTTTTAAGTATATCTTCAGATATTTTTATTTCTATTTCACAAGTTTCAATCATTTTTTTAATCAAAATTAAATGAGTATGTAGTATCGTAACACTTTTTTCTATAGGTAAAGAATAAGCATGCCAAAACACTTCCTTCAAAATAGTAACAAAACAATTAGATATAGTTTGGTATTGAAGTCGTTCACATAAATATCTGTTTCCTTTGACTTCTAAAACAATTTTTTTTAATATTTCATAAGATTTTTTAAGTTCCAAATTTATACACCTTCCAAATATTTGAAAATCTTTATCATGTTTTTCTTTATTCATCGAAAAATAAATCACAATTTAACATGAAGAAAAAGATAAACGCAAAAAATTTTTTTACGTTCATTTTTTCCTTCACGTTTAGATTGATTTGACCAATGTTTTTTTTTTATAATTCATCTTAAAAAAAGTTTTAATAACGATTATTACAATAATAACATTTTATTTCTACTTCATCATCATCATCGTCCTTATTAAACCATTTATTAACTTGTGAAACAAAAAAATCTTTCATTATATAATCTGTAGAAAATTCATAAAATAGTTTAAAATTTTGTTCTAAAAAATAATTCAAAGTCCAATCAAAATGTTTTTCAATTCCTTCTGTCAACTTGACAACAAATTGATGATTGTTTGGCATTTCCTCTAATCTTGCAAAATCGTATCGAAAAAAACAATCCCAAGCATCTTTAATTTCATCATTTAAATATTTATCTTTTTCTAAACAATCATTGCATACAAAAGGTTGAAAATCTTTAGCTTGTGTGATCAATTCTTGTAATGTAAACGGAAACCATTCATTAAGTGATAAAAATTTTTCCATTATGTCGTTTACTTTATTTTCAGTGAGTTCCATTATTTTTATATTAAATCTAAAAAAATTACAAGCGTTAATAATAAAAAAATAATTGCAATCGTTAATTAAACAATAATAAAGAAAAAGAATTATTTAGTTAATTTTAAAAGTTTATCTTAATGTCATATGAAAGATAATTCCTTTTTCTGCTTGATCAATAAGCAACTCAAAAAATAAAGATCTGATTGCATTATCTTCTTCAGGATTTTTCAAATTTTCTTCAAACATTTCATGCGCTTCTGTTATGTTATCTTTTGCAGCAAACAATAAACCCAAACTCATATTACATTTTTGAAGTATTCTTATTAAATTAATTTCGTCAACTACCATTAAATTAATTTCACTGACATCACCGTGTATTTTTTTGTTATAAAAAATACGATATTAGTTTAAGCCAACGACCAAAAACACTTTTAATATTTTTTTGGCATGCTTGCGATTTACAGCTGTACAATTGTATTTTCTTTCATCTGCCATATGATAAACAACATCTGCCCAAAAACAATATTCTTTACCGTGTTCAGTTGTTTTTAATAACGTATAAAAGTCGGGAAACTTTTTAGCAAAAACACTTTTATCCGTAATATTTTCATCAAATTGAATCTCTTCCAAAGAACTTGGTAATTCATATTCTGTTTTGCTATCATCATCTGTTTCGCTATTATCCGAATCGCTAGCTTCTGATAGTTTTTCATCTGTTTCGCTAACTTCTGGCAATTTTTTTAAATCAATATCTACAGTAAATTTATTATTGGAGTCAAAACTAGCACATTGAAATTTTACATACCAATTCTTGTCTTTATCTTGTTTTTCCTTTATTATCTCTTCATTTGGTTGCAACGAGATAATAGTTTTGTTCACAGAAATCAAAGAATCCACTTCATCTTTTGTAAAATGTCAATGGTCAAAAACCATTTTTTACCCAATTATACATTTTTTAACTTTTCTAAAAAAATAATTACAATAAAAATTATAATAAAAAAAATCAACACCAAATTAATACACTTTCAATTTTTTCAAACAATTGAAAAAAACGACTTCGTATATCTTTTTTTAAATTTAAACGTATTTCAGTTTTAGTTGGAAAAATAAATTCCTTGACACATGTTTCTAAATTTTGTTTTTTAGCTTCGCAACAGCACCATTCATCTTTTTTTGTTGCAAAATCAATAAACGCTTCGTTTATTTTTCTTTCAAATTTTTTTTCCCCTTTTTACTTCTTCTTCTAATCGATCAATTCCTTTATTACATTTAGTAATTAACTTTGAACACATTTTTAGGTAAAGATTCACTTCCTTTTTATCAAATTTATAATCTTTTGATTCTTCTGATAATTTTTCATACATAATTTCAAAATAATATTATTCAATTTTACATTTAATAAAAAAAGTGTCTTCAACAATATAATTTTGAATTAAATTTTCTTTTTCAATGAAGTTGCTAAAACCAAATCCTTCATTAGATTGCAACCAATGTGGTCGTTGAAAATAGGTTTGATCGTTCGTGATAATAGTTTTTTTGTACTTGTCGTTTTTACCAAGTAAAGATAAAGTTATTTTTCTTCCACTAAACGGCCATTTAAAAAAGTATCAAACATATGCGACTGCATGTATACAAATATTGACATTTGATTTTTGTGATTATGATTTTGATCACCCAAGCAAATTCATTAAACAAATGAATACGTAAAATAAATTTATAACTTTTATAATAAAATGGTGAAGTAAAAAAACTGTATGGTGAGTTTTTCATTATTTGTTCCATAACAGTAAGAACAAATATTTTTTTACCATCTTCTAATTTAACAGGAGCTTCAAGATTTAATACTCTCATTTTTAAATTTTTCAATTGAAATCGCATTTCTTTTATCTCTTTTGATTTGTCATCATCAACTTCAATTTCATCTTTTATTTTTATTAAACCGTCTTTTGGCTTGGCACCATTAAATTCAATTTCATCTTTTATCAATTCGACAACTTCTAATTTTTCATTAGTCATCTAAAAAAATAAAAAATAAATAAACTACAAATTATTCTTTCTTTCTCAGACAACATGGATTGTATTTCCATTTGATACATTTTATTCACATTTGAACCAATTAATACCACTCTTTCTGCAAAAAATACAAGTAAAAAAGACATTTGTGCAATAGCTTGACCTTCGCTTACAGTAAAAGCTTCGTTAGATGTATTTAAAAGTAATACGTGAATTTCTCCTCTCTAATCAGAATCTATAATACCAGGCAAATTTAATACTGTAATACCATGATGTAAAGATAATCCCGACTTGGTAGTAACATGAGCTTGAAGATTGCAATCCATTTGAGATATAAAAACACCAGTAGAAAACAACATTTGTTGAGATGGTAGTATTGTTTTTTTTTCAGTACTACGTAAATCAAAAGCAGCACTTCCTTTAGTTGCATAACACGACCAACCTTTTGTATCAATTATTTTTACTGTTTTCATCTAAAAAAAATTTTTTTTTACAAAAGAAAATAAATTAACATCCGTGTTGCATTTTACATGAAGGACAAAAACAGTATAAAGGATTGTTAGGATAATAATAAACATCGCTTTTTAAATAATAAACGCGACAAAAATAACACATTGAAAAATTTTCATAACTTTGTAACATGTTTTCATAATTTTTTAGTTTATTTTGAAGAA